CAAAAAAATGGGACCCACCTGCAAGCATTACCTTTCGGATAAAAAATGAATTATCAAAATCGGTCCACTAGCAGCGGAGTTATGCCGTAACACACATAAAAAAAAAAACATACAGACGAATTGAGTACCTCCTTCTTTTGGGAAGTCGGTCAAAAATGGGACAGTTTAGTCTGTAGAATAAATTGTTTACTGGATTTACTTTTTACATTACGTTTTGTATAAATATGATTTTATCGTAACTGACACTGTAATTATTTACTAAAATAACTTTAGCTGGATAAAATTAATTCTTATATTTTTTTTTTAATTCACATCCACTCAACAGAAACATTTACCGCCATATTTGTTTTTTTATTTTTGATTTTCAAAGGTGTCTTTCTGAATACGTTTTGCATAATATTATGGTAATTATATTTTTGATATAGTACATTGCAGATGTTATTGTTCAAATACAATGTCAATCTAATGTTAAAATTTTAAAATTACAACCATCTTTCGCCCGCGACTCCGTCCACGTGGAATTTAAAAAAAAACAAAAGTGAGTAACCTATGTATTCTTCCAGACTATCCTCTACGTGTGTGTCAAATTTAATCGAAACCTGTTCAGCCGTTTAGGCTACAAACTCTAACAAAACTTTCGCATTTATAATATTAGTAAGATACTGAACGAGAATAGGTACTAGTTTCTGGTAAACTATTAGGTTGTAACTAAAAATAGAAACCGAGTATTGGAATATTTTAAACAGAAATTAAAATTAAGTTATAATAAATAATTAAAATTTCGTTTTATTTATGTTTTTACAACTGAGTACTTTAACATAAGAAAAGAAACATTTAACTTTAAATTTTAAATAAAAAAATCAGACTTTTCCATTACAATCTGATAACGTCAATTTGAAAGAGCCGAGATATATCATACTTCATACTATAATACTAATATTATACTAACGTTTAGATGGACGGATGGATGTTTGTTAGAGTTTGTAGCCTTAACGTCTGAACGGATTTCGATGAAATTTGGTATAGATGTAGAGGATAGTCTGGAAGAACACATAGGCTACTCACTTTTGTTTTTTTTTAATTCCACGCGGACGAAAACTAATATTTTAATACAAATATTACAGTTTATTAAAATAAAGTTTTAGTAATAGAAACCTACACTAAATGTCTTCCTATTTTATAAATATTAAGTATATTTGACTCACAGAGCGATGTTTACGCGCATCTTGCGTGAAGTCAGCTGTCTATTTGATTACGATCAACATTACAATGTCATTTAACGCATCCATTTATTACTCGTTACATCTATTAATTAACATCTTAAGATAACATCCTTAATTACAAGTCACATATGCATGCATGCATAAACACTAGGTTTAGAAGCACTACTGGATTACCAATGAATGGCGAAAATATTCTAAAATGGCGGCTTTGGATCATATGTTTTTAATTGTTAGGTGTGGGTGAACAAGGCGTGGGTATACTTAATGTAATGAAGTTTTGGTCAAGGTTTTTTTGTTTACCATTTGTTATGGTTGCAAATAGATAGTTAATATTATCTTACTAGCTTTCGCCCTCGACTCCGTCCGCGTGGAATTAATAAAAACAAAAGTAAGTAGCGTCTGTGTGCTTCCAAACTGTCCCCTACATCTGTACCAAATTTCATCGAAATCCGTTCAGCCGTTTAGGCTACAAACTCTAACAAACATCCATCCATCTATACTTCGCATTTATAATATTAGTAGTAGTATGATTAATATTGTAAATGCGAAAGTTTAGATAGATGTTTATTAGAGTTACAAACTCTAATAAAAACTGTTAAGGGATCTCGACGAGGCACAGATGTAGACAGTCTGGAAGAACATATAGGCTTACTAAACTTTTTTTTAATGTGATGCAGATGGAAGCGCTGGCTAAAGTTAGTAAAGTATGAAATATGTACTAGTATGGACCAGCCAATAATCTAACGCTAGGTCTATGGCAGGCAACTTCTATTAATATTGGCATGCTCACGTGTATATATGTCTTTATTTATTATAAAATCTTTCATTTATGTTCTATGCCAATGCATTGTAGGAAAACAAACATGTATCGTCATTAATTCATGTGGATTACAAAGGTCAATTTATTGTTTATATATTTCGCAGTGTCAAGGCTTATTGTTTTATAGTTGTATTTTGATTTACAACAGGAAGACAGAAATATTTTAAACATGAACTTTTACAGCCATGGTTGTTTTGACATTTGATTACGTTGTCAAGGGTTGTTGTCAATCTGTAAATTAAACCGCGAAAACTGTAGAAGTGGTAACAACATTTTTGACCGACTTCCCAAAAGAAGGAGGTATTCAATTCGTCGGTATATTTTTTTTTTTTTTATTTTTTTTTATGTGTGTTACGGCATAA